GTGTCCCTGCACGCGCTCGTGGCGCTGACTGTGCCACGGCGACATTTTGTTTTCGTCAATTTCTTTGTATTTTACCCGTGAGCGCGTGCTGTCGGCATCGGGTACTACAAAGGGTGGCATCACCCTTAACAGAAGGACATTGAGGCACCCTAGGTCAGGCAATTAAATGAGACGACGAGTGTCCGGGATGTGCTGGAATATTTGCCAGTGCAGAGTGACGTGTGACAATAGATCAGTAATTGTGACCGCCAGCCCGGGGTGGTCATTAACGTGCATCACGAAGTAGTAATCCTACGAACGCACTGTTTAACGATACTCATCCAGTTCGAAACGGCCAGGGGCAGGCAGGTGGTTGAGGTTCAGAAAAATCTTGAAGCGATCTGGCAAACTGCCTCCCTACCCCCTTGCACGCTGGTAGTAATCCGATCGAACGTCGCCCGAGTTACGCTGGCATATAGTAAGTTTAGTTTGTACATGATGCGAAATCCTGAGACTGGGAATGAAATTTTAAAGCAAAAGTGTAAGAAGACAGAAAAAAGGGGACAGGACAACGTCTCAAACTCAACTCAGCTGAAAACTCAGCTCAGGACAACGTCTCAAATTCAACTCAGCTGAGTTTGAGACGTTGTCTTGTCCCCTTTTTTTCTTTCTTCTTACACTATTTCTTGCGAATTTCATTCCCAGTCTCGAGATTTTGCATCGTGATCAACATACATCAGCTCGCCTGCACCTTGACAACTTTTTTGTTTGTAATTGCTTTGGAGGTTTATTTTCTGGGGCAGAAGAAACGCCGAGCAAAAAGCACAGAAGCTGACGCAACTTGAGGTCGAGGAGCGTTCTACCATACCAGTGGCGTCGGAAGAGGAAAAACGGGGGGGGGGGGGGGCAAGGGGGGGGCTCCAGTCTCTCCCCCCCTCCCAGATATTTTGGACTGTTAAAGAAAACAATAGGGGGAAATAGGGCATGGTCGAGCTTATTTTAATCTGAAATTATTTATGCATATGTATATCTACTGTCACTCTTCACTGCATAAAAGATCGCGTAGATGGTCATTGTTAAGGCCGGTTCTCGCATGCATCGAAGTGCTGATGTAACGCTGCTCATGTGCCGTCATTTACTTATCGTATGCCATGAGCACAGTGGCAAATTCAAGGGGGGGGGGCGGTGGGGGCCATCGCCCCCCCCCCCCCCAAACGCCTCGTTTGGGGGGGGGGGGCGATTTGCTTGGCGTTTGCTTGGGACAGCCCCAATGCCTGAAACGTGACGCCTCTCCCGTCTCTTGTTAGGTGTTCATGTTCCAACCCTCGCACGTTGAAACCCTAGCAAAAATTCCCATAGAGAATTCCCATAGCCTATCGGTTTATTGACACCTATGGGTGTATCGGCCTATAGGCGTATGGGCCTATAGGCGTATGGGCCTATAGGTGTATGGGCCTATTGGTCTATGGGTGTATTGGTGTATGGGCCTATTGGTGTTTGGGCCTATTTGTGCATTGGCATATAGGCCATCTGCATGAGCACACAGGGTATGGTGCCTTTATACATTTTATTATGCAAAAAAGGGTCTTGAGGTACACTTGCTCCTGTTATGAAGGCATCTTGACGCTGAACACTGTCACAAACTGAGTCTTGAAGGTGCCAGAGCGTAATGGCATACTTCTTGCTTGAAATCCTGAAATCAGCAACAGAACAAACAAAAAGAGTTAATCGGCAGCGTGGCAAAGGTGGAGGATGATGTCACCACAGAAAGTGATTAAGGCTAAAGCCATTCGATAGATGACTCTAGCATTTTTAAATTTGAGACTGAAGAAAATAAAATTAAGAGGCTGGATTTCCTTTGTTTTCTGTCTTCATCATGAGCCTAACTGCCTTCAAAACTTATTAAGCATCTACCTTCTGAAGAACCTTGAAATTAAATAATGTAAAATTAATATCAGCTTTGTTTGTGGGATTCTTAACAACGCTTTATTTAGTTCGGTCAACAAATACATAGTAGGCATATAAACTCAGGTTAATTCGGGAAAGTCAGGGGATCGAAGTTTGCCCTGTTTGCCTTAACAGTACCATCCAGTCCACTTGCATAACTTCAAAACTAGTTGCATGCTGTAACGCGTTTTATAAAGATGGCTATTTTGGAACCATTTTGACTGCAAAGGTATAGTGGCTCTGCATGAACCGAATACTATAGAAAACTTCTCAAATGAAATTAAGTATGATCAATGTACTCAATTTATAGTGGGACCACTTCAGTCCACTGCTAGACCAGTAAGACATTTTCTAAATAAACGCATTGAAGGTAGCATTAAGGAATTTAGTAAGTGTGCTCTGTTGACATAATTAAGCTACACTTTCTCGGACCACACCCGGAATGAGGGACAACCCACGTAGCACGAGAACGTTCTGAGAACATTCTGGGAATGTTCAAAATAACATACACAACATTCTTGGAATGTTGAAGATTTACGTAAGAACATTCTATCAACGTTGTCAGAATGTGGCGCAGGCACTTATCGCTACATTCGGGGAATGTCTTCTAAGAGATATTCTTAGAACGTTCTGAGAACGACATAAAACATTACCAGGTCATTCAATCAACATTGAAACATCCTAACAAGGTTCTAAGAACGTTCTCGGTACATCCAAAGAACTTCTGCACCATTCTCTGAATGTTGCAAATTTACGCAAGGACATTGTATCGACGTTGTCAGAATGTAGAGCAGGCACTTATCGCTACATTCGGGGAATGATTTACAAAGATTCCACAGTTATGGCTTGCTTAGTTTACAGCCCCACTGAGCGATACTACATAGATTGATATAACAAATCCCCTCAAAGAGCGATCAATATTTGTTTTAATCGAAATATATTATTTCCAGGCCTAGCACAATCTAGCCGCTTTTACCGCACATTAGCCAAAGCCTGTAGTATACCGGCAGTTCACTCCTACTTATCAAATCGTGCTGCTTCCATAACCAATTACTCACTCCGAGCATAAGAACAGATACCTACAGCATCCCACACTCAAGCGGGACATACCTTGATCAAGGTAATGAATCCAAGATGCTAAAAATCGGGTCTATTCAAAACTGCCCCTCTACATACGCAGTGAGTGCCAAGCTCATTATCAAATTTTGAAGACCATTGCTTTTCTCCTACCACTTTATCTCACATTCCTCGCTAGACTCGTATAAGATAAAACTGATCCCTTATGCTAAGTTTTTAAAACCTCTACTTAATTTGCATATTTTTGGCACAAGGTGGCATATAGTGGACGGTGTTTCGAAACACAGGTTGCTTGAAAGCTCCGTAAAGTTGGCTTCACCTGCGAATATTCTAGGAATGTTCGCAAGCGAACGTTCCAAGAATGTTGCACATTTGAATGTTCAAAGGGGAACGTTCTGAGAACATTGTGCATACGAATGTTCGCCAGCAAACATTGCTAGAATGTTGAGCAGCTTACTTTCCCTGCTGGAAATGGCAGGCCTGTTCCAATTGAAATGCATAGCCAAAACCTATGAGCATGAATGTGCAATTGGCGCTGATGAGAAAATCCGATGTTTTGCACATTGGTGCAACTGGAAATGCTGGAGAGAAGCCGCAGCACGGGGGAAGGCCAAAGAATCGGTTGAGGGAAAGTCAACTTTAGGGGGCAAGCGCCATGATGCCAATTGTGTCAATGTGCACGACACTCAGTTTGCTCATTACCGCTCATTGCAGCCAGTGGCGCTATGTGGCAGAGCCATTGTACGGGAGATAGCAAAGAGCCATGCACTGCAGAGAAGTGAACTCGGTGCAGTATGGCAGTGACAATGCTCAATCGCCAAATTAGCAAACCCTTGCAAAAATTTTCTATGGGACCGATGGAGATTTTTATGCGATCATTAGGATTTCCTCGTACCGATGGGCATTTCTACTGGGCCGATAACAAGTTATATCGTACCAATACAGACTTCTCTTGTGCCATTAGGAACTTCTGTGGGACAAGCAGGAACTTCTATGGGACAAGTAGAAACTTCTATGGGAACAACACAAATGTTTTCTGGTCCGGAATACAAGTGCCTATTGGTCCTTCAATAGGATCAATAACAAGTTGTACTGGTTAAACTGAAAGCTTCATTGGTGAAATGGAATGCATTTCGGATCGAGAACTTTTAATGGTCGACTGGGAATACAGAACATAAAATCTATTAAGTGGGCATCTATCAGGTTAAACAGTATGCCTATAGTGGAGAAATTAGAGTTGTTTAAATACTAAAGTTTTATGTTTCGAGCACAGGAAAATAATTTTTGCCGCAAATATACCCGATGGCAGGCACGCAGCCAGGATTTTGATTCGCCCATGACAAAATACTGTATGAGGGGGAGGGGGGAAAGGAGGCCCCACCAAATGAAAGGTTTGGGAAGGGGGGGGGTCCCATGGTCGTCCCCCCCCCCCCCCCCCCGTGCAGATACGTGCGTGCCCGATGGGTTCCTCCCCAGTCAACACACAACATCCTGAGGACATCCTCAAAAGGTCCTATCATCCTCGTCCGCTAAAAGTAGTCCATGGAATGTCCGCAGGATGAATCCTACGGGCCATCCGGAATTCGTCATCAACGTGGCGTCCTAAGGACATCCTCAGAAGGTCCTTGCATCCTGGTCCGCTAAATTCGAGCAATGCCTTGCAGGTTCTTCGAATAAGCTTTCGGGATCAAATATGGAAAAAAAGAAACCACTGCAAAGCCAAAATGCTGCTAAAAAGGTTAAAACAGTTTAAACCGCCGACCAGCGCGCGCCAAGTTCATACAGCGATTGCGTGATGTCGTCGCAATGCGGCTTTTGCTTTAGAGCTTGACCCACATGCCAAAACCGCCAAAACGTTCAAGACATATTTAAAACAAAACCACAGAAATGGAGTCGGACATAAAATCAACATAAAATCCCAAGTGGATTATAGTATTTAAAGATTCTGCTGTAGAATACACTATGCCGCCGAAGCAACGGCCGAATCCGCTTTCTGCACACTGGCCGCAATGGCCGCACTACAAGTCGCGCGCCGCCGACGCCGCCACGAAAGGAAAGGGAGGCAGGAAGTTATTTGCGCGGGAAAGAAGCTGGGCACCTTTTCGAGGAGATGTGCGAATTAGGTAAGTAACTTTTAATTACTATTCAATGTGCATTTGCAGCGTAGAATGAGGAAACTATGTCTCCTAGTGAAGCGTCGGCACAGGTCTGAGGGTAGCCAGGAGTATCTGCTCAAGCTTAATTGTGTTTAGTGAAATGCCTTCTTTGTTGCATAATGGCGGCTTCCGACAGTGCTGCAGGTCGCCTCTTTCGCCGAAATCTTGCCCGACGTGTCAGTGACAGTGTTGCGCTAATTGAGACCTATTCACACTCATCGGAACAAGCAAGCTCTAGCGATTCTAGTGAAAACCACTGTGATGCTGTCTATGAAAAACTAGTAGCATAGGAAAAGAAACAACACCTTTGTGCTTAGAAGTACCTTTATAAACCTCGGGAATAAAAAAAAATACTGGGTAAATTACTTGCTATGTGTTTGTTCACATGAGTGCTCTTCCTGTGCAGTGTCCAAAACACACAAAATAGTTCCTGACTGGAACAATAGCAAATAGAATAAGTGCTCACGACCTTTTACGGTTTTAAGACTGTTCGGTCCTGAGGTCACGTATTTGTCATTGATTTGTTTTCAGTGAAACTGTGTATTTTTGTGCAGCATTTAAGCAATCCAGTACAACCTCCAGCTCTACACCTCCTTGCCGTAAGGTTGCCAGTAAAACTGTATAAAAGGAACCTGAGCCTGAAGGTATGAAACCTTTCGGATTGCCTTTGATAATTGGTTTTAACAATTTTATACAATGCTCCTGTTGATGGTTCAGGTTTCAGGCGGCACACCTTGGAAATTCTACACATGATCCGGCTGAGGCTTGATAACCTGAATGCCCTGATGGGCACTGTGTTAGAAGCTGTGAACAAGCACAAGGAGGACGACGACAACTTCCCCGTTCAGGAGCCAACTGCAAGCTACAACACCTTCATGGAATCTGAGTGCCAACTACAGGCTAGCGAAGCCATGAGAAAAAAAGCTGGTAAGTGGAATTATGGAGCATTTGGCTAGATGCCATAAAAGTGCCTGGTATTTATATAAACCTGTTTTTCTGTGACACAGGTAAATTGGTTCGTGGGACTCGGAGGGAAGACTGTAGGGGCCACTACTCGTCGACTGCTGGAAGCTCTAATGACCCAAAACGTTGTGGTGAATTTCAGCTGGAAAGGGCAAAAGGGCAAGGCGAAATTCCAACAACTGCAGTGTGTTGAGCTCATTTACCGTAAGTACACAACACATTATGGCAATGCTTTATTGAGGGAATGGTGTTTGGAAGTAGTGTTTTTTTACCCTAAATAACCAATAAATATCTAATATATGCTCTGAAAGCGCACAACAGTTTCACAGTGTGATCAGTTGGCTGGCTATAATAATGAAAGTATTTCTGATAATACTCAATCGCCTCAAGGAAGGGATGAGCATGCTCATGCCATTGCTGCGATTTCGCCCTATAGCTAGCACTCTGGGTTTTGGGTGACTAGTAATAGCAAACCTTACAACTTTTCAGAGGCTGTAAAAAGAAACCCCCGTATCACAACGACACGTCACGACATTGAAGAGGTAATCAAGACGTGGCTACGACACGCGGCGGAGAAGCTCAGGAAGCTTGAGGAATCTGGTCTTGGCAACATCCCCTAACTTTTTATGAGCATCTATATCCATGTATAGTGTGCATCTTCTTTAATTCATGCTTATTTTTTTTCTTTTCAAGCCCATCTTCAGGTAGTACTTGTTTGACCCGCAGCCACAATTACACCACAGAACAAGTTTTGTTAGTTTGTCATTATCATTTCCAGTTATTTTAGTGTTCAAATTCTAGTATCTTTATCTAATATTTTTTTCTCATTATTTATAATGAATGCCTCTTGTCTGCAGCTAAATGAGAACTTGTTAGACCAGCAGCTACAATTGCACAACACGAGAAGTGATTATCATTTCGTTATTTTATTTTTCAATTTTAGTACCCTCGTCTTGTTTGATTTTTATAGTTTCCAGTCATTTTGCTTAGGAGCCCTGACAAGCCCAAATTCATACTTTCTTTGTCTAAATAAAAAAAATAAATAAAAAGAAATCTCGAAAAAAGCATTCTAGCACGCTAACAGACCCTTTAAAAATCCCAGTTCTCGTTTCCCGTCTGGGCTCCTCCTTTCGTTTATCTAGGGACGTCGCAGGAAGCCTTGTCGCTGTCATTCCTCAAGGATTTCCCATGACGTCCCTCCATAACCGAAAGGAGGAGCCCAGATGGGAAACGAGGACCGGGATTTTCAAAGGGTCCGCTAGCATGCTAGGAATTCTGTTTTGAGAGGAAATTATCTTCTTAGATATTTTTTTTTTAAACAAAAAGTTTGGCCTTTAATTGATCCAGAGTACTGTTCTTGCTTGTTCTATTCAATAAATATTTTGGCTGGTACTTTCTGCCTACTCTTCTGTTAAAATAATTATAATTTTTTGTGTGTGTTGGTTTCATGGTTCTGAAGGAGCCTGCTCAGCATCCATCGCAAGCCAGGTCAGCATTTGCATGGGTGACCCCAAAAAGGCCAGTCAGCTATCAAGCATCGCCTAATGGTACTTTTGAGACATGATGCCCTGACCACATGCAGCAAACATTAAAAAGAATAAGCACCCCAGGTGAATGAAATCAGCTGTATGTTCTCAGCAGTCGTGTCAAAATTTGTCACTATATTTTTCATTGTGACTAATTCCGTAAAATTAATTAAGTCAGCTCTTTAAATATTGGTTTAAGAGCTGAACTGTGATTAGCAATGTTGTAGAGCATCAGGAGAAAGCTACAATTATACTGTTTAAAACAAGGTGTGGTTTCTATAGTCCTGTTTACAAAACAAAAATACCTCAGGAATTTTAAAACGCCCTTTGACCACCCACCTTGCAATAGCGGTCTGTGTGCCTTGGTTAATGGGTGTTTTTTCTTGCCTTTCAAAGAGGACTAGTCAGAGCACACACTGTTGTAAAAATCATAATCGATCATTTCTTATGGCATTCTAGAACTTCAAATACCACTTGAGCTCCTAGACCAATAAATAGAAAGTTGATCAATTAATTTTACCAATGAAATAAATAGGGACATTTTCTGAAGATGTCTGCGTCATCATATAGTTGCTTTTATCCGTCTAATGTTTCATTATTTCATGAAATTCGCCGCATGTTATCTGAGGCACCCTGTATATATACAGGGTGTTTCACGAAAGGTGGACAAATTCGATATTGTGAAAACTACGCGTCGCAACAAAAGAAGACGTTATTTTCGTCCTGGGCCAGGGGCCTATTTAAGAAAATTATTAGAGTCAGGGATAATTAGATTGCTAATTTTTTTGCATAATTAACTGTTTAATATTGGGCATGGTTTCAACGAAAAAATTGCTCAGCATCATCGAAAAACACTAAATCGACAAATTCAGAACGATAGAATGCACGCGCAGCATTTTACGGCTTTCTGAAAAACAGCACAAATTCAACAAGCTTTTAAGTTCCAGTTTGCTATCAGAGCGCTTCTCGGCCCCGACGGCACCGCGCCCCGTAGAGTAATAGTGCAACCAGCCTCTGCTGCGTCGGGCAATGACCGCGCAGCAAAGGTTGGTTGCACTATTCCTACACGGGGCGCGGTGCCGTCGGGGCCGAGATGCGCTCTGATAGCAAACCGAAACTTAAAAGCCCGTCGAATTTGTGCTGTTTTTCAGAAAGCCGTAAAATGCTGCGCGTGCATTCTATCGTTCTGCAATTTGTCGATTTAGTGTTTTTCGATGATGCTGAGCAATTTTTTCGTTGAAACCATGCCCAATATTAAAGAGTTAATTATGCAAAAAAATTAGCAATCTAATTATCCCGGACTCTAATAATTTTCCTAAATAGGCCCCTGGCCCAGGACGAAAATGACACGAGTCTTTTTTTGTTGCGACGCTTAGTTTTTGCAATATCGAATTTGTCCACCTTTCGTGGAACACCCTGTATATTTCTGAACTTCATTAATGATCAAACGCTTCCTTGACGATATGCACTGACTGAACCAGTAGGGTGCCTTTATCCCAGAAAGGTCCCCATGCAGTCCTTAGGGCTGGCAACTCAGGATGTTCTCAGGACATAATGGGTCTGGACAAAAAGATCATTTGAGGATCATTCGAGACTCTTTCAGGATGTTCTCGGGACTACCCATCATCCTGGACTCGACATCCACAGTACATCCTCAGGATGCCATTGCGTTGACAGAGATCTCTGTCAAATAAACATTTTTTTTAGCTATATAACTTGGGTTGGGCCATGTAGACACTAATTAAATAAAACATTCAGTTAATAAAGTGAATATGAACTCTTTTTTGTCACGTGTTTTAGAATTTCCTGATTACGTACTGTCCTCCTTCGTATTATAAAACATGCGGCTGCCAGTAAAACATAAAGAAAAGACTATGGGGAACGGGAACATTGTGTGTGCACATAGTATGCACAAGATTCATGAATAATTATATATAGGCAAGCCACGAAATTCAGGTATCATCGGAACTCTGCAGTTTTAGCGGTGTATTCTGTCCTTTTGTTTTCAGGATGTTTCAGTAACAGTAATAGCGTAAACGATTGCACCAACTGGATTATGTATTCACATTAGACTTTGCTCCGTTTTATTCAGTTTTACCTGGTTTCGGAGTGGAACGTTCTCGTTTTTGTATAAATTTCGCTCCAGAACCGAGCAAATCAGAGTAAAACCGGGTCAAAAACAGAATAATACTGACTCAAACATCCTATTATCATCTTTCACGATTGGTCCAAAGCTCTCCGACTTCCGACGTCGGGACTTTAAAACTTCGGCGGAGTTGGCGAAAAAATGCGATACTTCAGGCTTCCATTTTGCCATGTGAACGTATCCTGTTTGAGCCCTAGCAGAGGCTACGCGCTCGTTCTGGGGCGGCAGATCACGTGCACGTTCTATCGTGGGCATGCTTTTTATTAACAGAAAAGAAAAGCCGGTAGTGCCGAATAACATCCAATAATTATTAACACCATAGAAGTCATTAAAAAAAAGCACATAAAATGCGCGCGCACACACACACACACACATACGAAATAGGGATGACCTTCCCGAAATTATGATTGCACCTTGTTTCACGCACAGTATGTGTCAGGCAGCGCTTTCCACTGTGTAGTTGAGCAAGGAAGTTCCTTTTTGAAAGGCATTTTACGCGCATGTTGGCAGTTTGGGCCTTTAGTTTGGCTTCTGGCTTCCCAATGTTGTAGTTTTCCTTGATGCCGGGAAGAGTGTACACTCCAGCAATGAAGTTTTCGAGATTCAAAAGCCCTTCATTTTGCGTCCAATTAAATGAAGGCCAGCCGAAACAGGGTACGTCAGACTCGTTACATTCGTCTTTGGCAGTAGCCTTTTCGGAAACTTGGACAGGAAATTGGTCTTCAAATCTCCCGTCACTTTCACAATTTTATCACTTGTGTCTTCACTAACTGGCCCAGTACTGTGACCACTTCTGGTTTCATTGGTACTACTTAGTTCACGGGGAGTTTTTGTCTCACCGTGTTCCGAGACAACCGAGCTTACAGAAACTGCTGTCGGCGACGTCGGTTCCGGTCCCTGGCCTGTTGTAGCATTTTTCAGGACACAACTTCGTCTCAGGACTGTTGTCCTTGGCAAGCTGGGTATACTTAGTGGCTCCACGTATATTTTTTTGTTTGGGTTCATGGTCGCACAGCGCGACACCCTACGTGTCTCAAATCCAAATTTTAAAATTCGCACCGACGTCGTCCCGCAGCAAATGCAATTTTCTAATTAAAATGACAAATAAAAATTACTCCGTTATAAGTTTAATACATATTCAGTATTTACATTTGACAATTAAGTAATACCATAAGTTTTAGAAACGTTTATTATTTTCTTAAGTGCATCAGTCACACTTGCGGGCTTGCGGGTTACACCACGTGACAATATAGAGTGAGCTGGAGTCAATAGAGTGAACAGTGGGGTCACCCGCATGCATAGAGATCATACATACTATAAAACATATAAAACCAAAATAAGTTTTCAAAGTGCAATTTATGCAAATTTTTTGCTAAATTAAGGTCAATAAGTAAATTTTTTAAGTATTCGTTTACTTCAGCAAACAAAAACAAGAGTTGAAATACGAAGTATTATAGTCACGTGATACATCCCCTGCGTCAGGAAGTGGTCCGACGTGATAAACCGAACGGTCCGGCCGGAGGACAAGCAGGACAAGGAAGCGTGGAACAGTGTTGCCAGGTCTACTGATTTATCAGTAGATTTACTGATTTTGTTCCGGGTCTACTGATTCACTGAAAAACAAGAAAATCTACTGACTTTTTTTTAGTAAACATATTAAAAATTTATTATATGGCCCCTTCAGTTCCCAGTGTCGCCCATCAAAGGAAACTCATAATGTCCCAGAATTAAAAACGAAGCACTGGCTAGATGGCCCAGAAGCCCGTCCTATTCGAGTGACGTAGCCGTATATTCATCTATCTATTAACCCAGAGCAGCTTCGGCAGATTGGGCAGGTTCGACGGTGACATCCGGGCCAGAGCCATATATATAGAGATTTTGGCTAGCCTATGATCTCGCCGTAACGTCCCTCTCCCGAGTGAGCCAATCAGCCCGCGGCGCAGAGCGAGAGGTGTTTGCGCTTGCGCCTGAACTCTGGGCTGCTCCTATACAATGTACTAGAATAGCTTCGAGTTGAGCGGAGAGAGCCGCAATTTTCATTCATTCATTCGGCGGAATGCATGGGATCGACATCCAAATTTCAGTTATTTTCTTTTATTTGGCAGGCTGTGGCAAGAAAATGATATAATCCTATTCCTCGGTGGCTTAAAAAGCTAACGAATGAAGTTTCTCCACGTTTGAACGCAAACTTTGGGTCAGGCGAAAAAGAAATAAGCCCGTAGCAGACGACGTGTAGCCTCAACAGTGCTCCGGACGAACAGCGTTGCTTCAAAAACCTTCCACAGCCCAGTAAGGAAAGATGGCAGCATGCAGAGGACTTCCATTGGACATGTTCGCGCGCACTTGCCGGAGCGTCTT